TACTTAACTGACATGAGATTACTAAACTACCCCTATTCGGCTCACTCTAACAAGGAGAATTATATACAAATACCAGACACAGTGGACAGGAGACTAGTAGGTAGTTTCTCCCCTTGCATTACAAAGAAAACACAAATGTGGAGACAAAAATCAATAAGGTTTCTCTTCCGAAGGGTTCCATTTTAATTTGTTTCTACTTAGTTATCTTGCCTAAGTTTCTATATTGTCTTCCATTCTCTTTCCCTTCTCTTTTTCAGTAAGGTTTGTATATTATCAATATGAGGAAATATAATGCATGCTTTCTAGCATATGGTAATTTATACTCAAATATCCTCTTATATTTCTACAAGTGTTTGAAACATAGTTCCAGTATAAATTCACTACTCTTTTAACATTATTCTAAATGATCTATCATCTGTTTTTCATAGTATTGGCTTAATGTTTGCTATTGAAACATCAGACAGACTTGGCAATATATTCTGATATCCAAATATATTTATTTACTTTTTACATTTGGATATGCTAGGGAAAATGAAGCGTCTCTTGCTGTTTTACCTGATCTTCTCATGGAGCTTGACAGTATGAATGAGGTATGTGTAATAATGATCTTGTGTAGGCTGTGTGAGAATTTTCCATTTAGTGTGGGGGCTTAGGTTTTTGTTTTAGTGTTTATGTCATATTATCTACCAGAACTGGAAAATGGTTCCAATCCCACATTATCCCCATCCCCAACTCCATCCCTTCGATATAAGATTAGGTAAATAATAGGGATTTTTATAATTTACAGAAATTCTTATGAAACTTTTTTTTAACAGAAGTCTTCTTTATGTAAATCCTGAAATATAAGTCTGTTGTGGCTGTTTATTCTTTTGTAGGGGTGCTGAGTGTATATCCTGTGTACAGGCCCTTGGTGTACAAGGATCTTTTTTGATTAATGAATACTTATACTTTTACCTTTTTAAAAAAAGAATAGGCAAATAATTAAATTATAACAATACTAATAATGTTTTGCCAACTATATGAAAGCTTTAGTGCTTTGTGTTGACTAAAGGTAGAAATCCAAGTTTTAGATTTGGAGGATCGGGGAAATTTGGAATTGATGATTAACATCATGTTTCGAAAGACAATGGCTTGGATTCCAGATGTAAGATAATGGAATTATTACTGTAATTGTTGTATCATTTGCTTCTTTTGTTCAACAAACTATCTACTTTACCTTTTCTCAAAAAGAAAAAATATTACTGTAAATTTTCAGCCAGTATCATAATAATGACAAAATTTTCATTGTCGGTGGAAATTATATTATTGACTACAATCTCCCGATGCTCGATGCAGAAGAACTATTCTCCTGCTTCATCATATAGTGATTTCCAGATGATTTAGCTTATAAAATTACATGTAGAATGTCCTATGATAAAGGATTGACCTTGATTAAGAAGGTTATTTCTCTGAAGATTCCAATGCAAGTTTGCAAGACAATGTAACAAATGCCAGGAGAAAGTATTGGAGGGAGGACTATGTTTTCCAGGAAGTCCTTATTCATACATACCTTTCTACGAAAAACTTATTTTGTGTAACTTAAATACATTTTTGTTATTTTCATTTGTTTTCTGTATTTTATTTTTGCAACCTGTGTTACTTGATGAACAAAAGTGACTATAGTAGTGGTTGAGTACATAGCTTAATTAGGTAATTGTTTCTGTTATAACTATTCTTAATGTTTCCCACATTATGCTAATTATTAATATCTTTTCTAATTTATAGGAGACAAGACTGCTAGCCCTAATTGAAGGTGTACTTGCAGCAAATATCTTTGATTGGGGTTCTCGTGCCTGTGTGGATCTTTATCACAAAGGGACCATCATTGAAATATATCGAATGAGTCGCAAAAAGATGCAACGGCCTTGGCAGGCAAGTGAAGCAAAATGTATAACTGTAGCATTAGGAGTCCATTTTTCCAAGAGATTTTCTGTACCTGATAATTAGCTTTTCTTGCTTTCAGGTGGATGATTATGACATCTTTAAGGAGAGAATGCTGGGTTCTGGAGAGAAGAACCCTAGGCCACATAGAAGAGCATTGCTGTTTGTGGACAATTCAGGTGCTGACATTGTTCTTGGGATGCTTCCACTGGCACGGGAACTGCTTCGCCGTGGTACAGAGGTAAATTTTTTTGATGGTTACTAAACAAGGTCTAGAATCTTCACTTTTGGTATTGTCTTCTACAACCTTGTTTAGAATCTTTGTGTTGGGACTAACTTTTAGAACTCATTGTTTGGTACATGTCCTGCCCCACTTGCCTGAGACATACAGTTATTAAACATGAAATAGGCTATATACTAAAGAGCTGTTAGTATATAGACTCATCCATCTTTATATAAAACGTGTCCTATAGACTAATTGTTTTCTTCCAATCTCACCATTGCCACGTCCAGAAACAATCATTATAATGTCATTTCAATCCATCCAATCTGAAATTTCACCAAACCTTGGGAATTGTATCATTTTTTTCGAGGATTTGCACTTTCTGATGGTTTGGTGCTCAAAGGTTATAAAGTCCACCATGCCTTGTAGGTTTCATTTCTTCTGCAATTTATTTTTTCTTGTATTATTATCAGGAAAATTGCTTAAGTAACAGACACGTGTACAAATTTGATCAGGTTGTTCTGATTGCAAACTCCCTTCCTGCACTAAATGATGTAACTGCAATGGAACTTCCTGAAATTGTAGCTGAGGCTGCCAAGGTTTGTGGAATAAAGAGTTACTTGTTTTTCCTCTTTATCTAATATTTCAGTATCTATTAAAACATATTTTTGTCAGATGTGTATTGACAGGATTATCAGCACAAAATGAGATCTAAGTATTAAAATGTACAAAGGATTGATTTGTTGAGGACCCCTCACATAGGGGGATGTTTTGGTATCATCAGATTGTAATATACTTCAAGTAGAAATCACTGATTGTAGATTTAGTTGAATTTCTTGTGAAAGGAAAGGGGAGGAAGATAAAGATTTCAGTAGTAGAGAGGAAAAGAGAGGGAGAAAAGAGTAGGAAGTCAACCAGGATTCTTAAATTAACCCTAGCCGCCAACCCCTCATTATATTTATACTTAACTTAAAGGATGAGATATTACAAGGATGCCCTTAGTAGGGTGGCTACTAATGTGGCTGAACAGTCACAACTTAAAAACATAAACTAATGGGCCTAAAGCCCAACAACTTCCTAACTAAATAGCTTAAAATAAGAATAAAAAACAATTAGGCCCAACTCAACACTTCACACCCATACCCTATCCTGGATTGGCATGACCATACAAGTCCCATCTAAGACCAATCGACTTGTCAAAAGCATGGTTCACAATTTCAATATTGATGGACATTTTACCATGTAAAGATGAAGAAATTTCGGAGATTTTTCGCTAAGATCTTTGGAAAATCTAAAAAATCAGGAAAGACTTCTGGAAACATGGGCTTAATTATTAAACCTTCAAGGAATCATTAGAATAAGTATAATTACACATTTATGGCTCAAAAAACCATAGCAAAGAACTATATGAATCAAATATGAGAAAATTGAGACTTTACTGGTATCTTTCTCTTTTTCTCCCTTTTAGTCTTTGAACTATCTTCTCTTCATTATGTTGAGAATATTTATGTGAAAGGGTATTATTGTCTTTTTATATTTGGGCGTCCAAGTAGGGGCATACTTGTAATATTTTTCAGAAAGATATAATTTTTTAGTTTTGAGGGTGTGAACAATGACACACCACTCTTCTTCAACAAATCTCTTTCTTCTTCCTCTTCTCTCTCTTATCCCATATCCTATACTTTCTATTTGGTATCAGAGCACCTCAAGGATCTTCTTTTTTGAGAAACGTTTAACCAGATTTCATTAAAATAAAAAGTAGTACATGAGAGGATGTACTATACAGATTTTCTAAGCAAGCACTCAATTTAGCTAAGCCATCTGCAATAGGATTGAGTTCCCTTGGAATCCAAAACAGGTTTGCATTTAAACTATCTAGGGAATCCTTTGCTTCTGCCAAATAATGGCTTAACCTCCAAGGACCCCCTTCATTGTCCCTTAACCATTTGATGGCATTTGCTGAGTCCCCTACGATGGAAAGATTCTAAATACCCAAACTTTTAGCTATTTTGATTCCAATGAGAGCAGCCAACACTTCAGCCTTAGTTGAGTCAGTGAAACCGATTGGTCCACTATAAACCCAACAAATGTTACTGAAGAAAACTGAAGAGAGGAGAGCTTGAGAGTTCGGCAATGAGGGTTTGAGAATGAGAGTTCCGAACCTACTCTCTCTCAATACCCTAACACTATTTTTATTAAGATAGGTTTGAATAATTACAAGGAGGCCCTTAGTTGGGCAAGAATTTACAAAGAACTTAATATAGACAGGATGGGCCCAGAATAAGGCCCATTATAGAAAAACATAAATAACAAGAAAGAATAAACAGCCTATGGGCCATTCGGCCCATCTTCTCTACACTCCCCCTCAAGCTGAGCATAGA